CTGCCACTGGGAAACAGCACTCTCTGTTGGTGGGATCCCCACAGGACAGGCAGAGGGGAGGAATAGAGAGGCCCAAAGTGTGGAAGGGGTCAAGGTAAAAATAACCCACACCATCAACAGCTGTTTATTCCATTTATTTAGCAGGCTTCTGGCCCAAAGTTCTCTGGCACCTGTACAAAATCTAAATTAAACATCCAAAATTAATTCTCCTTTTCAGGAAAAAACACAAACAATTCCCTCAAAAACCCAGAGTTGTTCTCAGAGGAAGAATCCATTTAGGGGGAGATTGGGAATTTTGTCAGGTCCCTGGAAGCTTTGCTGAGAAGACCTTGTCTGCACTGCTTTCTCGTCCTGTGGCTCCAGAGTCAAAGCACCTCAGTGCCACTGTCTGTCGGCTTGGTGGGCCAGAGCAAACCTCTTTTCCTCCCTAAGCCTCTGCACTGCTCTCAGAGGTTCACTTCTCTGGGCACAGCAGAGTTTCTGCTAATGGTCCCAATATTAAACCCAACGGACACTCCCTGAGGAATCTGAGAATGGAAATAATGATATATTTTACTTGGATGGCATTTGGCTTGTATCAGTTCGTGGGCTCCTCTTGAAAGCCATGAAGGAAGGGATTGTCTTGCCCATTTTACAGGAGAGAATGCTGAGGTCCACAATTACAGATTAGTTAGCTAGAACCATGCCCAATATTTTAACTTTGTCATCTGCCTTAAAAAATTTAATGCTCGTTAAAAATAATAGTTTCACAAAATGTGTTCTTTGTAGAAGATTCAAACAATACAAATAATGCTCCCACCAGTTCTGTTCCCAGAGGTAATGGCTATTATCTGGTGTTCTGGATAATGGAGTCCAACCATCAGATTTTTTTCTATACATTCACATCCATAGATGTACATACATAATTTCGTTTCATGTTTTAACAGCATTTACTTGAATGATAGTATACTGTCAATAGTATTTCTAAAACTTACTTTTTAAAAGAAGTGCTTTGTCTTGGAGATATTTCTATGTCAGTACATACAGATCTACTTCACTCATTTACTCAACTGATTCTTTCAGAGTATGGCTATACCACAGTTGATCAAAGCCTTTTTTTACTGATGAGCATTTGTTTCCAGTTTTTGGCAATTGCATCCTTTATACTCTTCTTGTGCATGGGCATAAACTCTTCCTTAGGGAGACACAACAGTGGCTTCTCTAGGTGTTAGGGACTTCACATTGAAAATACTAATGGATATTGTCAAAGTTGCTCCATATGGAGCTCATCACTTTATATCTTTACCACCAAAGGCAAAGCTCATCACATCCTTATAAACCCCTGGTATTATCAACCCTTTTACTAGTTTGATTTTTTATTTTTATTTTTATTTATTTTTATTTTTATTTTTTTGAGACAGAGTTTCACTCTTGTTATCCAGGCTGGAGTGCAATGGCACAATCTCGGCTCACCGCAACCTCCTCCTCCTGAGTTCAGGCAATTCTCCTGCCTCAGCCTCCTGAGTAGCTGGGATTACAGGCACGTGCCACCACGCCCAGCTAATTTTTTGTATTTTTAGTAGAGACGGGGTTTCACCATGTTGACCAGGATGGTCTCGATCTCATGACCTTGTGATCCACCCACCTCGGCCTCCCAAAGTGCTGGGATTACAGGCGTGAGCCACTGCGCCCAGCTAGTTTGATTTTTTAAATGGTATCTTATTTTGCATCCCTCCTTCCTGGTTACTACAAGACTAAATATATTTTATATTGTGAGATGCCTATTAATGTCATCAACTCACCTTTCCATTGATTTGTTGGTTTTCTTATTGATTTGGGGGTTATTTTTATATTCTGTCTATTAACCTTTGTTGTGTAAGCCACACTTTTTTTTTGAAACTCTGTTTATGGTGCCTTTTTTCATATAAACCTTTAAAATTTTGAGGAAGACAAATTTATTCATCTGTTCCTAGATGGTTTTTGTATAAAAACTCTAGTATAAAAAAGTCTTCTATAGTTGGAAGCTATCTACAGTCATATTTATCTCTAACGTTTCATATTTATTGATTTAGCTATTTATTTATTATTTTTGAGATGGAATCTGGATCTGTCCCCTAGGCTGGAGTGCAGTGGCGCCATCTCTGCTCACTGCAACCTCTACCTCCTGGGTTTAAGCAATTCTTCTGCCTCAGCCTCCCAAGTTGCTGGGATTTCAGGCTTCTGCCACCATGCCTGGCTAATTTTTTGTATTTTTCTGTAAAGACAAGGTTTCACTATGGTTGGTAAGGCTTGTCTCAAATTCCTGACCTCAAGTGATCCGCCTGCCTTGGTTTCCCAAAGTGCTGGGATTACAGGCATGAGCCACTGCACCTGGCCAATTTAGTTTTTTAGTTCATCTGGAGTTTATTTTTGTGAATGGCATATCATAGCGTGCTGTTGTTTTCTTGCTCCCTGGAACTCCCGACTCTGATTTCTTACTGAAGTAATACCATTCTCTAAAGGCATACTGATACTCTTTCCCTCAGTCTGCCTTAGTTCTTCAAATAATGGATCTGTTTTTTCCCCAAGGCTCCACTCCAGGTGAGAGAAGGAGCGCAAATCTCTGGAGAAAACAATGGTGCAAGGCAGGAGGAGCTGCATTCTAAAGACTGGTCCAGGTAAAATGGCAGAAAGAGGGAAAGCGTTCTTTCAGCTGAGCAATTTGGGAAGACATCTCGAAGCAGGTGATGCTTGAATTGTGAGGAAAATGGGAGGTTGTTTAGTTTGATTAGGATGTATATTACAGGCTGAAAGAGGTTGGACAGGTTATGGTTGCAGGGGTCAGCATCCTACGGTTGGTTCACAAGCCAAAGCTGGCTGCCATCTGTTTCCATACAAGGTATAAACTAATAATGGTTTCCACATGTTTAAATGGTGGAAAAAATGAAAAGAAGAGTAATAGTTTATGACGTACAAATGATACGAAATTCCCGTTTCAGTGCTGATAGGGTTTTATTGGAACACAGTCACACCATTTGGCTGTGGCTGCTTTTGCACTGCAATGGCAGAATTAAGTACTTGTGACAGAGACCAAATGGCCCGCAGAGCTGAGAAAATTTATTCTCTAGATCTTTACAGAAGAAATTTGCTGACCCATGATATAGGGACTTGGATGCCGGGTTTAGGAGTGTGACTCCTGCGTGCTGTGCAGCGAAGCAGGAAGCATATGATTGGTGGCTTGTTTAAGGAAGACGATGCTGCCATAGGCTGGAGATTTGCAGGTGAGAGCGGGGGCAGGGAGGTGCTACAGGTGGTCTGGGAAACAATCCCAGTAACAAATAATAGTTTCAACTCTAGAGTGGAAAGTGAAGAGGGGGAATGTGAACAATTCAGTTCACATTGAGGCTTACTGCAGTCTGCATATGTAACATGGCTAGCCTAAAAGTTAGAACCTGAGAAATGCCATTTTATAAAAGACAAAGCTGTTCTTAAAATAAGCTGTAACGGCTTCCCCATTCTCTTTGCAATAACTGCTGACCTTGGCTTCTATGAAAAGTGCTTGCTTTTGCTTATCAATAAGTGCTGAAAAGTTGCTTGCCCTGCATCCCCTCACCCTGAAACCAGGATGTGGTTTTTCAGCTTAAAGACCCCGCTCCCCAGAACTTGGGGCCATGGGTTGGAGAGATGCGAGTCCTCTGTGGTCGCCGGCAATAAATGACCCTGAAATTTGACATACTTCTGTCTTGGTGTTGACTTTCTATGCTCAGTCCTGTACAACACATATAGTTCTGGGTGCCGAAAGGTCTTATGAAGGTAGAAATGGTAGCTCTGAGAGGTATGGATACTGTATTAGTTTGCTAGGACTCCCATTGTACCACAGACTGGGAGGCTTAAACAACAGAAATGTATTCTCTCACAATTCTGGAGGCCATTAACTGAAGATCAAGGTGACGGCAGGGCCATGCCCCCTCTGAAGGAGTTAGGGAAGGATCTGGTCCAGGACCCTCTCTCAGCTTCGGACAGTTCCTTGATTTGCGGCAGCATAGCTCTAGTCTTCATGTGGACCAGACGTCCGCGAACTACGGCCCGCAGGCCACATGCGGCCCCCTGAGGCCATTTATCCGGCCCCCCACCACACTTCAGGAAGGGGCACCTCTTTCATTGGTGGTCAGTGAGAGGAGCACAGTATGTGGCGGCCCTCCAACAGTCTGAGTGACAGTGAACTGGCCCCCTGTGTAAAAAGTTTGGGGACGCCTGATGTGGACACTCCCCGTGCACATCTCTATGTCCAAATGTCCCCCTTTTATAAGGACACCAGATATAGTGGATTAGGGCCCACCCTACTCCAGTATGACATCGTAACTAATTATATTTGCAATGACCTTATTTCCAAATGAGGTCACATTCTGAGATACTGGGGGCTAGGACTTCAATATATAAATTTTGGGCAAATGCAATTCATCCCCCAACAAGTACCTAACAGTTTGGCATAAAGTAGTGTTGAGGGGACTCCTCTCCTTCCCCTACCCTCTGCCCCTGCCCAAAGCATGGAGAGAACTTCCACTGAGCCTCCTCTGTCCCCTTCTGGTGCCTCTCACTAAGCCCCTTGCTCAGCCTCCCATAGGAGGAAAAGTTTATTTGGCGAGTCAGTGCCGACCTTTCTGCACCCATCTGCTGGTGGGCTGGCACTGTGACCGTGCTTGTGGGTATAGCTCTCCTTTTCTGCCCAGGCTTTCTGCTCCCTGTCCCCACAGAGAGACACCCTCGAGGCCAGCCCACTGCACATCCTCTGGCCCCAGCTCCTTGCCTGTGTGTCTGACAGGGAAAGGGCATTCCAGGGCCTTCCTGCAGACCTAGCCACACCTGGCTGTCCTGGCAGGGACATGTGAGTGGACAGTGTGGGTTTTGTGTTCAGGGAATTACTCTTCAGACCTGACCTGGGAGTGTGGATCATGTGGATTATCAACATTTATGAAAATATGGTTGGGAGAATGTGGTGACCGATAGCACCATTAATGAAAAGCCATAGAGAAGAAAAGACATTTTTTAAAAAAACAAAGTTCACTTTATTACGTTAATTGTACACACTAAAGCAATATGAAATGCAGACTTGTTTAAATTCTCTTGCTGATTCTCTTGAAGACAATGTTGCCCAATGTCATGGTCTGAAAGCCAGAAAAGAAATTATGAAATGTTCATCTGATGTTGTATTGTAAAAATAAAATAAAATAAAATAAGCTTAAAAAATAGCACCAGATATGTTGACATATGAAACAATTCAAAAATTCGTCTGGTTGTCTATAGGGCAGGAGGAAGGGTTGGCAATTTTTTCCAAAATCCTATGCCATGTCTTTGTCACTTCTCCTCCTCACCTGGAAAGTCCTCCTGCCTTTTACTGAATTCTTTTCTACATCAACAGCTGTTATAGCAAGACCATCCAAACCAGCCCAATCCAATTTCTCAAAGTTTCATGGAGTACCTACTATACACCAAATACATGTTGAGCACCAAGGATATATGTACGTGGGCACAATGAAGCACACAGCCTGGAAGGCAGTGGGTAGTACATAATTGTCCTCCTAGAGCTGTGAAGCTTATAAAAACAGTGGATGTGTCAGGTTTGTTTTTTCAGGATGTTCCCTCCACCTCTGCCAATTCTCTTGAATAATTCTTCTGGAATGACACGGCATGTCATCAGGGTGAAAAGGAGCCCCTTAGCTTCATCAGCAATGCAATGGTTGCTGCTTGATGGGTTCAAGCCCTGGGTCTATCATTTATTAGCTGATGACTTGGACAGGTCAGCCTGTCTATTGAATCCCTCATCCAGCCTCCCACAAGGAGACAGGAGGATTAGGTGAGATGGAGCCTATCAAAGGGCATTGGCCAGACTCACTACAGAACGGCTCATCTTCTGCTCCCCCGCTCTCCTGAGAATGTGCTGGCGGGGAGCTGGAGACCACAGATTGGGTGGGTGATGCTTACACTCTGTCTAGTTTAAGAATTTTTCCATTTGAACAGAGTGATGACAGCTCCCTAAGGCAGGGTTCTGTTGTTTGTGACTCCCTAAAGCATATATTGGGGGCAAAGAAGAATCAGGGAGACATACCTGCAGGAGAAACACTGCACTGTTCGCCCCCAAATAGGGGATAGGACGTGGTTGGCAGCCAGGCATGAAGGCTGACTGAATAACTGGACTGTGCCAGGCCTGTAAGCTGCCATAAATCACGATGAATGGGATTCTCTTTATAAATGCTAAATGGGCAAAGGCACTCATAAAGCACCCTGGGCATGCAGGGCAGGTGGAAGCCTCTGTGGCTGGTTGGTTAGTGCTGAGCAGAAGGGATTAGTGACAATGTGTGTAAACTGCCTGGGACATCATGGATCTGCAGTAAGTTATAGCGGATACTGACCGCAGGAAAGAAGTTTGGGGGTTGGAGGGTGGAGAGGTGGGGTTAGGGTTTGTGACCTGCTCCCCATCCTTCACCTTTCCTCTCCCCTCAAGCACTGGGAACCACATGCTCAGAGCACCACCAACTTACACTGGTGATTATGTCGCCATTGAGTTCGGTCACAGACTTGATGTTTTTGAAAGTTGTCACCAGTTTATTGTCACCTTCCATCTGAACCACTGCCTGCAGGAAACAGAGAGGTAGCTTGTGATGAAGAGGTGGTGGGGGGCAAGAGCCTTGCTAATGAAGTTGGTTCTTCTGCACAGGTCTCAGCTCATATCAACCAAAATGCTCTGGTTCCTATGCTCCCAAGCTTTCAGTTCTCTGGCTCTAAAGAGAAGCGAGGGCATTTAAGAACTAAATAAAATGTTAGGACTTCTTTTGTCTTATGGCATGTAATCTAGAAATGACCATGGAACACCTAAGTGGCCCCAAATACAAATGCTAAAATCAAATCAAGTAAAATCTCAATTCTCCCAAGCTAATGGAGGGAGGTAGTGGCAAAATTCAAAATACTGACCAGTAGAGAATACATATTTTCCTTTGGTATGTATTCGTCTTCTTTTCTCTTTTTTTTTTTTTTTTAATGAGACGGAGTTTCGCTCTTGTTACCCAGGCTGGAGTGCAATGGCGCGACCTCGGCTCACCGCAACCTCCGCCTCCTGGGTTCAGGCAATTCTCCTGCCTCAGCCTCCTGAGCAGCTGGGATTACAGGCACGCGCCACCATGCCCAGCTAATTTTTTGTATTTTATTAGTAGAGACGGGGTTTCACCATGTTGACCGGGATGGTCTCCATCTCCTGACCTCGTGATCCACCCGCCTCGGCCTCCCAAAGTACTGGGATTACAGGCTTGAGCCACCGCGCCCGGCTTCTTTTCTTTTTTTTTTAAATTGAGGTGGAGTCTTGCTATGTTTCCCCAGGCTGGTCTTAAACTCCTGGGCTCAAGCAGTCCTCCCACTTCGGCCTCCCAGAGTGCTGGGATTGTAGGCGTGAGCCACCATGCCCAACCAGGTACGTATTATTCTTTCCAGCATGTTAATCTTTCCTATTGTGGCCTCCTTCCAAGCCCTTATACATTCCGGAAGAGATGACAGGAACCCAGCAGGGAGCAGAAGATCCTGGACAACGTTAAACATTTTGCCTCCAAAAAGAAAATTTGGAAAAGGCCCCTGGTTAAATCCCTTGACCATGAGCACATCAAGACAATTTTCCTCGTAAAATCATCCTGACCTGTAATGTTCTAATTGTAGAGGCAGAAATAAAGAGTGACCAGAAGAGAGAAAAAGATGAACATGCCCAGCTCAATGCACAGAACTGTCTGCGGGGCAAGGGGTGGGGGGAGTGGGGGGAGAAGAGGGGTGCAAGGGCATGGAGTGTTTCAGAGGGAGGAGGAGACAGTCACTCCCATTGCTGGGATACCCCTGCCTGTCTGCCAATCGCTCACACAGCCCACACCCAGCTCTCATTGCACACCTTGAGTTGTGCCCAGCAGAAGTGATGCTGCCCTGCCCACTGCCTTCAGTCTAGGGGGATTGACTGTTCTTATTTTACAGATGTGGTGGCTGAAGCCAGGGACTTTGTGACCACCCCTGAAGGCTGAGTCAGAGCACCTGCCTGGGACCCTGGTATTCTGGTGTTGTCAGCACCTACTTCAAGAAGTCTCTCCCCATTGCCACCAGCTCTAGGTTCAGTGAAGGACAGTTGACTTTGGGTTCAGTTAAGGGTTTTTCACAAACTTCCACTTGCCCCACTCCTGGGCCCTGCTTAGAGGACTCTTAGTGCCAGGAGCACTGGGCCTGGGAGAACCTGAGACTTAGAATCCTGCTCTATGCCTGGCTCCCCCATATCCTCCATATGGGAGAACTCAAGACTTTGGGGACTGGAACACCCCACAGACAGTCCCTGGGAAGTGGAGAGCAGCTTCCCTATGAGATTCTTCCCTAAGAACTCTTTTTCTCTCTGCCTCTCCCACATGGGAGGTGGGTTCAGAGATGGGGTATCTGTGGGTGGAATTGTGAGGTTTGAGCCTTGAGGAAGGAGGCCCCAGGGCCAGGCTCCAGGGAAAGTTCTGACAGCAGAAGGGATGCTCTCCTACCTTGACCTTCTCCCCTGTCATTGTCTCCAGCTCACATTCCTCTCCCAGGGTGAACTCGTTGTTAATCACTTTGGACCCAGTGGTGATGGTGAGCTTGAAGTGCTTCCCATTCTGCACGATTTCTGACACCCCCTTGATATCCTTCCCCTTCTGGATGAGCTCGTCTGGCAGACCTGGTGGAAACCATCTGAGGTTTAGAGACAGGCAGAGGTGGAAGTTTCATCAGGTTGCAGAGGTGGACATAGGCTTGCCTGGCACAGCGCTACCACCACTGTGGTAGGTAGAGGAGAGAAACGTTATGGCATGGAGGGGCAGAGAAGGGCATCGTTTTTCCCAAGGGGCCACAGAAACTCACTGGGGGCTTGTGAGCAGCATGGGCTGTGGCCTCAGGAAGGAAGGAACAGTGGCCTAGTCTGGCCTGCTTCTATCTTGCCAGCCAGTTTATAAAAAGGACACTCTTGTGATGATGAGCATTTTTTCATATGTTTGTAGGTTGCATAAATGTCTTCTTTTGAGAAGTGTGGATGCAGCAAACCACCACGGCATGTGTATACCTATGTAACAATCTTGCACAATCTGCACATGTACTCCAGAACTTAAAGTATTAAAACAAAACAAAACAAAGGACACTCTTCTGGCCTGAAGAACTGGTCCTCTTGTAAGTGCCCTGGTTCTTGCTCACTCTCCTTCCTCATTCCCTCCTCCTTTGAGGACTTTGCTCTTGGAGTATGAGCATTTCATTGCTCATACCCAGGGTGACCAGAGAGTTGATCTTCCAAGCTAGGTACCTCCTGAGAGCGACAGGGGAGCTGTCGATAATTGTGACAGGTCAACACACACAAGGCAGTGCTGTGCCAGGCAAGCCTGTGTCCACCTCTGCAGTCAAGACTCTGGAGGAAGATGTACCAGCAATCCCTTGCCCTGGGATAGAGCTTTACAAATTTCAGAATTTGTCTACACTGTTATATAAATTGAGGTTGACAAAAATTACGTGGCTGGGCAGTGAGCATGGAGGGTCCTGTTGCATGAGTGGGAGATTTGACACACGGAGGTGGCATGATTTGCCTGCGGAAGATCCAAGCTCTCCGGCAACGCTGAAGGTCCTCCTCTCCCTGCTTCTGCTGTCTTCGGCACTCTTCTCATTCTTGGCACCTTCCCTTGCCATACAGAGGGACTCCTTTGCCTGTAGGGGTCCCTCTGCCTGGAGCCCCCTGGGGCACACCTGCTCATCTTCCAAGGCTCAGCCTGAGCCTTCTCTTTACTTCCACTGAGCCATCCTCCTATGCCCTCCATGAGTCACACTCTCCTGTGCATGACCCTGGGAGGCACAGGGGTTAAAGCAAGGTCTCTGAGAACCAGTGCCTGCTTCCATTCCTAACTTAAACACTTCCTACTTGCACAATCTTGGTTGTGATTACTAAATGTTTCTAGTCTTCCATTGCCTCAACTGTAAGGTGGGAAAATACTGGTACCCAACTTAGTGTTTTGGTGAGGAATAAATGAGGTATTGCATATCCATGGTCAGCACGGTCACCTGGCACAGTTGGCGCTCCGTACACCTTAGGGAATGCCTTATTACTTTATTTCTTCTCTTCTCTCTCTAAACCTTGGAAATGTGGCTCATGATCATCTCTCTCTGATATCTATCCAGCACAGTGTTCAGTGCGTGGTTGGCCTTGAATCACTGTTTGAAGAATGAATAACTGCAGGAATAGGATCATGCAATGAAGTGCCAATGACATGGCCATCAATCCAGACCACACCCTAGTTCAGTGCTCTTTCCACTTCCCTATGGGGTGGGCTTGTACAGTGAGGACTCGCTTCAAATAACTCCAGAAGTCAATACAATGCCCCCCTAGTTTCAGTATATAGCCTGAATCTCTCCTCCCATCTCAACATCCAGACTCTGAGTAGCCACTGCTGGTGGGGCCAGACCCTCATTGCTGTGACCCACAGCTTTGCCGTTCAGTTCAGCACTCACCGATTGCCTTCATGAAGGGTTCAAAGTTTTCCTGGCTTTGCAGTTGGTACTTGCCGGTGAAGTTCATGGTGGCGCTAGAGCTCCCTCTCCACGACTGGTCTGTAGCTCTGCAGCTCTGCTGAACAGACTGTCCACTGCGGGCTGTTTTATAGGGGGCTCCCTTCCCTTCGAATAGCGGCCAGAGGTCAGTGGCTGTCAATTCCTTTATGGCCAGGTTCAAACATTAACTCCTGAGAGCAATGGTCAATGATAAAGAACAGGATGGGCACAGCAGACGTTTGTTGTAATTCAGCAAACATTAATGAACATCAGTCAAGCACGAAGCCCTATAGTCCTGCAGCCTTTAGTGACTCTCCACTTTCCATGAAATGTGTGTGCATATGCATGTATATGTGTATGTATGCACACATGTGTATATATATATGCATGCACACGTACATATGTGCACATTTGTGTTTATAGATATGTATTATGTACATAAAGATGTATGGATGTGCATATATGTAATGCATATGTGTATACACATTATGTATATCTGTGTTTATATATGTCTATACACATATACACACGTGTGTGTGCATGTGTACACACAGAAAAATACCAAAGAATTCCTTTGAACTCAAAACCTCACTTTATTTACATAACCTTATGATGTCTTCTCATCCCAATTATTATACAAACTTAATTTTTAGAGTTGTCATCAGCTGCTAGTGCTATTTTGTATTCTGGGAATTCCTCCTGGATGACTCTAGGCTCCTCTGCAGTCCTGTTTTTTGAGGTGTTAAAGCAGTCCATGCTAAATGGCAGGTGTAAACCGTTGGAACCAGCTGTGCGGAATTGAGACGCATTTTATTAGGCAGAGACAAGGCAGGGGAAAGTGGCACCTGCTGACTTGCTCCAGCCGTGCTGAGAAGACAGGACAAGGGATCTAGGGTTACGTGTGGGAAACTAGTCTTGCGGAGCCCCCTGACCAGCACTGGACTTGGGGAGACAGCCCAGCAGGGCCTCTAGTGGCCTTCGGATACGCTACTTTGTTGTGAAACACAGAGAGACATGGCGCCCAATGGGTGCACATGCCCCACTTCCTGCCTCTGAGGCAGCTCTTGACAAGCACCTCCCCACCCCTCCACCCCCACCCCCCCGATTCTCTCCCTTCTTTGTCTGGACTTTGGTTTCAACCTTTTCACCTGCAGCCTCCAGCCTTCGTCCTCTGGGCCTCCTCTACTCTGTGGTTAGACAGATCGTCCGGAAGCATAGGCTGAGTCAGGCCACTGCTCCAGGCATGAGCCTCGGTGATTCCCATCACTTCAGAGGCCACAGGTCCTGGATGGCCCGGTGTCACGTATCAGGTCACAATGGCCACCCCCAACAACACTCCCATTTCCCTATCATGAGTTCTAATTTTTGGCTTGGAAAATAACTCCCACTGGCTACACTTCTAGCAGGGCTGCCAGTCCTCAAAAGGCAGCTCCAGTCTGCCTTTCCATTCTTCTTTCCTTCCTTCTCCCCAGGCCACAGTTCCAGCCACAGGGCCTAGTGGACACATCAGGGGCGTCCATGCTGCTCTCTTTGCCCTCCGTGGTCTACAGCATTTGGACACACTGACCCAGCAAATCACCAGAAGTTCTCTTCTCCACTCACGGTCCCAGGGCCAGGGTCCTTCTACCACATCCCTGACAGGTGGTGTTAAGGCACACCCTGCCACAGGGAGGTCCCTGCCTTTGCAGCAATGTGGGCAGAGAGCACACTCACTAATGGAGTGTCCCACCATGCAGATTGTCCTGCCATGCACCAGCAGACCTTTCCCTCCAGCACAGAGGGGTGCTCTGGCCCTCCCTGCTTGGCCCTCCTCTGACAGTGTCTAGGACACAAGGTGCCTCCCAGGCCATGAATTGGGGCTATCCCTGCAGGAAGTGAAGTGGGCTTGCATGATGAGAACTTATGGCTTTTTATAATTACCACGACTGCCTGAGTAGCGGGCGGGAAGGGACAAGGTGGCTCAAAGAAGGCTGGGCACACCCACAGTCCCTCTCTTATCTTGCTCTGAGCTTTGATTATGCATCTTGTAACATGTCTCATTGTACTGAAGGGGCCCATATTAGACTCCGTCTCCAGGTGGGATGCTGATTTTTCATTTTTGTATATGTAAGGAAATAAAAAATCCATTATCTTAAAAACTGGCATGAGAATTCCTCGTGTGTGTGTGTGTGTGTGTGTGTGTGTGTGTGTGTCTAAATGACTGGATTAGCTGCCTGGGAGACAGAGTGTGTGAGACCCCAGACCTCAGACCCGTGTGTTAGTGAGAACCAAGCTGGTGAAGAGAAGGGCAGCTCCCTCTGCAGGAGACCAGGAGAGGCCAGGTGTGTCTTTCTCTCCCTTGCCCAGACTGCAGAGAGAAGAGAGAGGAAAGTGGCAGGGAGGCAGGAGTGGGGCCAGTGAGAGGGCGTGGGGTGATGGGTCACTGAGATACCCCCAGTGACCACAAAGCAAGAAAAGCTCCAGAATGGCATTGGCTTTGAAGCTGCTCGTTTGCTCTAGTGAATCCCCATCTTTCTTTAATTCCCACCTCAACTATTTCAAAAGCTTCAGTAAAATATAGTGCCTAGATCAATGCGTGAGCAAGTGGAAAATGATCAGGGCTGAGCTTTATTTCTGGCTGATGTGATGGGGCTGAGGTGGCACATGCAGAAGCAGTGCTGGGAAGCAGAGTGTCCAGGGGCTGCATTCCCCACAGGGTTCCCCAGGTCCCTGGAAATCCTAGGGAGGGCTTTGGAGGAATTCCAGCTCATTTTATTTAGATCCCAGATGGCATCTGGGTTACATGTGACACCTAAAGCCTGGGCCAGTAGCTGGCATGTGTCTGTCTAATGACCATGCGAAGTTTCAGCCTAGGGCTGAATTCAGGTCTATACCTGAGACCCTATTCACCACCTACCTAAATAACTCTTCTAGCATTTGTCTAGGAAGGAATACGTAAATGCTTGCTTAGCTGAGAAGTTTAGGAGCTTTGCAGCCTAAAATCAATGAAATAATCACCGAGGAAAATGACCGTGATGGAGTCACTACCATGCCCAACTCCCAGCCCACCCACCAGTTGCTTAGTTTGGGAGAACCTGCTGGAAGTGCCCATGTTGTCTCATGCCCCCAGCTGCCTGCCTGACATCCTACTCACATAAGGGGATATCTGGCTTCTAAATTCCATATCCAGGCCCTCTCCCCTTGATTGCAAATGTCAAGTATCATGCCCCATACTGCTGCTTTCTGGGGTCTACAGAGGGGAGCAGGTAAGGAGTGTCATTCAAGTTTCTCCATAGAGCAAGTCAGCACCATCCCCTGAGGCCTCAGGAGAAGTATAAAACAGGTGCACCTTTCCTGGTGTCTGAGGAAGAGCAGGACCCATGAGCTGTCTCCTTGGGGACCCCTCTGCCTGGCCTGCACTTCCTGCCTACCCTGTCCAGACTCAAAACAGCATTGGGAATGCAGCTGACCCAGAGGCTGGTCCAGGGCCTGGCACAGCCAGTGAAGCCTTGACGGTTTCCCTGGCAGATGGGCAGCCTGGCAAGTAAACTGAGCTGACCTACACCGGGCCAGGACTCCCTCTTTCACCCAGATCTGAGATATGGCCGTTCTTAGGCAGCCTCCGATGATTCCCTTTTGTCTTTTTTTTTTTTTTTTTTTTTTTTTTTTTTTTGGTGAATCTTGAGGGCACAAAGATTAGTAGCCATTTCAAAAATTAGTACTCATGAGTTTTCCGTAAAATTAGGAGAGGGTAATGACATCTTCCACCCACTAGCTGAGCAAACACAAGAGATAAGCTTAATTGCAATGACAAAGTTCAAGTGTTTTTCAAGAAAAAAAAAAAAGTCTTCCGTTCTATGGGCACAGCTTAGGAGTGTTTAAAGACTCTGGCCCTGCTCACTCCACACCAGACATCTCTTCTCACACTCCTACTCAGATGGGCAGCATGTAGGTGTGGGAAGGGAGGAGAGTCACCTCTTGGTGGCCAGGATATGACAGGCATTCATTTTAGAACAAGTGCCTTGGACCTCAGTGCCTGCAGTGTTGGTCTGCCCATCTCCTGGGTGTTCTGAACACAGGAGGTGGCCCAAGGAGCCCATACTTCTGCTACAGGCGGGGCTGTGGAGGGAAAGGACTTGGGTTTGGGCCCAGCTCTTCTTTATACATGATGTGGAGCCTTGCTGAGCCTCTACTTGCTTATCTGTTAAATGGTCATAACATGTTTTTGCCTTGTGAAATAATGATGTAAACTAATCACAACTATAATGAGATTCTATCTCACACCAGTCAGAAAGGCTACTTTTAAAAGTTAAAAAATAACAAATGCTGGCAAGGTTGCAGAGAAAAGGAATATTTCAGCCACTGTGGAAAGCAGTGTGGGGATTCCTCAATGAACTTAAATCAGTATTACCATTTGACCCAGCCATCCCACTACTGGGTGTATACCCAGAGGAACATAAATTGTTCTATCAAAAGGACACATGCATGAGTATGCTCACTGCAACATTAGTCACAATAGCAAAGACACGGAATCAACCTAACGCCCACCAACAGTAGACTGCATAAAGAAAGTATGGTAGCATACATGATGGAATACTATGCAGCCATAAAAAAGAATGAAATCATGTCCTTTGGAGCAACATGGATGGAGCTGGAGGCCATTATTCTAAGCAAATGAACAGAGAAACAGAAAATTAAATAGTGTGTGTTTCACTTATAAGTGGGAGCTAAACATTGAGAACACATGGATACTAGCAGAGGAACAACAGACACTGGGGCATAATTGAGGGTGGAGGGGGAGGAGGGAGAGGGTCAGAAAAATACCTATTTGGTCCTATGGTTACTACTTGGGTGATGAAATTATCTGTACACCAAACCCCTGTTACACGCATTTTACCTATACAATAAACCTGCACATGTATCCCTGAATCTAAAATAAAAGTTTAAAATTTTTTTTAAACTTTAAGTAGTTATTGTAAAAATAAAAAAATTTAAAAAAGAATTGTGTAAACTGTCAAGTCTTTTAGAAATGCAACACTCGTACCACAGGGGATTGGAGCACTTTGCATTTGCATCTGTCAGATGTCCCAGAGGTATGACCACTGAGGACCAGTTTTTCAATCTCCTGGCTTGGGAACGAGCTTCCTTCCCATCTCCCTGGGCCAGTGGGTAGCACCTCCATTCCCCGGTTTCCTGATGGTGCAGCTGTGTC